AGGATTCTACACCTGTGCCCGGGTTGACGGGATTCTACACCTCTGCCTGGATCGATGGGATTCTTCACCTATGCCTGGATCGATGGATTCTTCACCTATGCCTGGATCAATGGGATGATTCACTCACCCTGGATTATGCCTAAATTGATGGGATTCTTCACTTACTCCTGGATTGCTGGGATTCGTCACATATACCTGGATGGTTCAGATGCTTTACTTGTGCTTGCATCGCTGGCATTCTTCACCTATGCATGGATGGCTCAGATTCTTCAGCTACGCCTGGATTGAAGGGATTCTTCACCCTTGCCTGAATTGATGGGATTCTACACCTATGCCTGGATCGATGGGATTCTTCACCTACACCTATGTCTTGATCGCTGGGATTCTTCACCCATACCTGGATTGATGGGGTAAACAGAGAATTGTGCTGTATCATCCCCCTAACATACAATTATTTTTATATATTTTAATTAAAAGTACTGTAATATTTTTGTGTCAGACTACTGGACATTGGCCTAGATAGATCAGGGGGGCCATAAAGGGCTAGACTTGACTGCATAATTATCTCTGGTAAGCACCATTGGTCCTGTATGCTACTTACACCCTAGTTCCACGTTGTTTGAAGATCTTGATGGTTCTCCACTCCCTTGCCCATCTGATCTATGCCACGCCTCTTAACGGAGCAAGTAGTATCTCAAGGAATCGGTGCCGACTTCCCACCAGTGGGCTTACAGTACCAGTACTCCTGCCTCCAGTGTCAGTGTGCCAGGACTTTTCAACTAACCCAGCCTCCAAAAGTTACAGTAATTATAGCTACTATTTGTTAAAAAATGAACGTCAGGCCTAATCTAATTCATATATTTGATGTACTAGGTCTATGCAAGTTTTAGTTTTGGCTTTTTCTTTAAGTGTCCTTTACAAAAATAACAGTTGAACATATGAAAAACTGTTGTAGCCAACAAAGTTCACAAACCTATGTTGGTTGCAACAGTCCATTTTTGTATATTTAACCCAATAGTTGCCATAAGTAGTGTACTATCATTTCTGGGGGAATGGGTTGTATCAGCACATGAAGAGAACCAGCAACAGTTTCCACTGTGCTCTGTCAGGTTTGAGGTGGTCATTGCACCATACTGGGCCACACCAATCTCCCATGTCTACCAGTTCATCAGATGGCTTGAAGTGGCACCTCTTGGTGGACACCACAGTGAACTGTTTCTTGCCTACCTCCACAGCTGGGTCTCTCAATTTGCCATGCACTTCATTTTCACTGACCACATCCACCAGTCTGAAGGACCTCCCACAATTCCTCAGCATTGTGGATTACCATCCGGAGTCCAATGGCAGAGCTATTCTATCTGTAGTTGAAGGCTATTCTCAAGCTCAAACACCCAGAGGCTTTACTAGGCAACCTACCCCAGTTCCTCCTTGGTATCCGATCTGCAACAAAGGAAGACAGTAGATTCTCAGCAGCACACCTTACCTATGGATCCACCCTCCAGTTTCCTGGGAAGTCATCTTCCAAGCACCTTTTCCTACATTGTTGGACCAGGATGCTGTTCTCCACAGCCTGAAGTCTGCACCATGATAATATAGATGTCCCCAGATTTACCTCTTTGACCAATGACCATGTTTTCTACCCAACAGGTTCCTTGGCTGTTGATGCCGTACCTACTATGACCTATGCCGTTTCTCTTTCCAGCAGTGCCACTGCTGAACCTTGCTCTTCTTCCCTCAGCACTTCTTAGCCACTTGTACTAGGACCACCACCTGTTGGCCCTGATGCCCTCTGCCTTGCCTGTGGACCTTGGGAATGATAATGTTGACATTCAGCCTGGAGTGTTTGAAGACATTGGCAGACTACAGAATTAACTGACCAGTTTGTCTCCTACTGTACACAACTGTACACCTTGCACACAAATCAAAAGGAGGTACAGTACGTCTGTCTACAGTGAAATAGTAAATCAACACCTGCCATTCCATGTGGGCGACCAGTGGTGGTGTGTGTCTTCCGGTATTTGCCCTGAGCTGATCCTGGTCTCATCTATACAAGAAACTTGCCTACGAGATGGAAACATTACATCTTTACACTCGACTGCAGATCATCTATCTTCTTCACTCCATTTAGAAATGCCTCTAACCTCACCACCAGCTCAGGATTCAGCTATGACCTTTAAAAACATTACTGATAGTTTTGTAATTAAATAGAGAATATATATTATTAATTACCATATGTCTTGTTATTTTAAAGAATTATTTTAACTGTCTATGCTCATTTTGATTTTATTATGTTGAAGAATTTAACATCACCTAGACATCATAGACTACATCAGTATTAATGAAACATTATATAGTTCATATTACTACTTTCAAAAAGTTACAATACATGAGAGTCCTCCAAATGTCCAAAAAAAAATTCCATTCTTTAGTCAATAAAACACCTATTTTAACAAGTTTTTAATATTCCCTCCATTTTCCAGCCATGAGTACATGAAGTTCAGAATGCTTGGGATTTTCACTAAAACAAGAATAATCTAATCCTAAAAGCTAAAATACGTATAAGAATCTAGTGTGTGTGTGTGTGTGTGTGTGGGTGGCCAGCACGCTACAACGTCCATACACACGGTGTGGACGTTGCAGAAATTGTGCAAGTTAGAGAAAGCAATAACGATTGCAACAATTCGGTAGAGATAAGATGCTATGTTTCAACATACAAGCTATACTTGGGGACAGACAAAAGGCACAAGAGCCGAGGCATAACCCAGTATGGTGTAGAGCATCCAGGCGATGAAGGGTCGAAGGAGAGGTGGGGGCAGTCATAATCGAGTTTAGACAGTATGAGAGAGGAGTGCAAAGGGTAGTGTGCATCTACCAGCTACCCAGGAAGTATGGTCCAAGACTAAGTTAAAAGCCTTAGAACATTCAACTCGGAAGTGAAAGATATGAACAGACCAAAACAAATGGGAGTAAAAAATCAGTGCCAAAAGCTTAGTAGTAACTTATACAGATTACCATAAGTGACAATAGGGGATGAGCAACAACATGCCTCAGCGTAAAAGCCATGGCACAAGTCTTAACTATAGAAAACTTGAAGCAATGATTATTTGCCCAAGGACGACATGTTATCAATAGCAAGTTTGAGCTGGTGTTGGAGAAAAGGGTTATCACCACCACGACAGCAGAGAGCGAGATCAACAACACAGTGCTGAGAAATTCCAAGAACCACACGAGACGTACATAAGACATACATTCAAATTGTTTGTACACAGAACTTGTCAGGGTAATGGGGCAAAAACCCTTAGTAGTAATCCCTTGATTGCCTGATTTATGGATGGGAAGACTTCCACTGTGAAGGTGCTAATCTCCGGGAATAGGCGGTACATATGGATTTGGTCAGAACTCAAGCCAGTCCTCAGGGACTGATGTTGCCTCCCAAATATGTTTATAGATATTCAGCAAATACTGAAAGATGCACTGAGGGGAAATAACAAAGCATCTCATAGTTAATGTTGCCTGAGCCTGCAACAGCAAAACTGCACAGGGATGGGGCAGACTGGAGTTCAGAGGGAGAGAAGAAATTGTTACAGGGAAGCTGCGAGTGCAAAAGTCCAAGGTGAATGCAAGACTGAATAAGGGGAATTATTATTATTATACGAATAATAATACTGTGTTTACAATTAACCAAAGTAGGAAAACAATGAGTACCAGAGCTAGCGGCTGAAAAGTGCAAACCTAATTTATTCATGACAAACATGGGAGCTGCTACAATAGAGATGAAGTAGAGAGGATATGTCCAGAACAAATATACCTATAATCTTAGATTTTCTTTCAAATTTGAGGGAGATTGGTGTTAACAGTAATGGTGGAGACGTAAGATTTCCAACTCACATTTTGCTATGCTATATGGGTCACTACAAATGCCTTACAAAACAAACTAAAAGATTCGTGCGTTTGTTGGAGTTGATGTCTTTTTCCAGGCTGCACACTTACAGTGTACAGCCCAAACACAGTCCAAATTCCACCAGAGAATGCACTTCTGCATGATGGGAGGTATAGCAAGGAACAACATTGAAGGCAGCATCTTAATAAAGTACAGTACATGTATTGTGAAAAAAGAAGAGCGTGAGAAGCAGATTGGACAGTTTGGGAAGAGCAGCATGAGAGGGTGAAAAGACTCCAGTCCACTTTATTAAACTACCACCAAGGGAAAGAGTGGACGGTGGAAAAAACTAGTATCAAATGTAATGAAATGCCAATTTCTGTGTGAGCCCCAGTGGCTTCCCAAAGCTATATCCCGAGATAGTACCATCTACTAGGTCGCATCAGCTGTATTGTTCTATAGGCCTACTGGGGCTCCAGACCTGGGTGTGACATTTGTTTTTTGCCACCTCACAGGGAAAAGACAATGAGAAAGGGAGCGAGTTGAAACACTACAACTGGATTCAAAAGGAAACCAAAGTTTTGAAACCCAACTAAAGAACTTCCAGCTATGTAAACAATTGAATTTTCTCGGAACTAATGCAAGCTCACTTGGCCCACCATCAGTTTGCCACCACTCCCTGTGCTTCTGAGGGGGGGAAGGGGGGGCCAGGTTCTGGTCCCCCAGTAGGCCTGTAGAACGCCACAGCTGCTGCAACCTGGCATCTCCGTAGGGTGCAGTCGCACCTCCACAGATCTCCAGTATCAGCTGTTGATACTGGTAATGACTCAAAAGGGCCACCACTTTCGGGCTATTCATGCCCGTGCCACCTTTTGGGTGGCATAATCAATCTACCTGGCAGATAGTATCATCTCAGTGTAGAGCTTCAAGGACCCAAAAGGGGCTTCTCCAAGAAAAGAAAATATGTCCTAATTCACAAAGCAAGTCAAACATTTGTTTTTGCTCTTTCCAAAGTGGGAATACTACTACTGCATACTGTAATATTATTTTAGTGTTAAATTTTATCTTTTTTAATATATAAGGTTCCATAATAAATGTATATTAAAATAAAAATGCAATATACAGAATTTAACAATTTATTTAACCATTTTGTTAATAACATTATGCAGTGTTTATACTCAAATTATCTTTCTATAATTAAATTATTTAAAAAAAAAGTTACTGTCATCATAAATTAATTCTCATAGCTTGAAGGTTATACTGACAAATATGTTTAAGTATTTTTCTTTTGTAATGTGTAAATACAGCTAAATCAATTAAAGATTATCACCAACAATGTATTTTTTAAAATGGAAGAAAATGTGGATGGAATGGAGAGGGAGAGCGCACTGATATATACAAATGTAGAAGGCAGGAATGTGTTCCGATATACAGATGGCGAAGGCAGGAAGGGAACTCAGGAGAAAGTGCCAAGCCACCATGAATATATAGCACTTCAAAGGGATCAGTTTAAGGATTTGGGATGGGGGGAAGAAATGGAGCCCAACCACTTGGACAGTTGGGATTGAACGCCGAACTGCATGAAGCGAGACTGTCGCTCTACTGTCCAGCCCAAGTGCTTCACTGAAGGGTTGGAGGGAATGGCAGGAGAGAATTACAATATACAGATGAAGAAGACAGGAGAATGTTGGGATATACAAATGGGAAAGGCAGGAGAGAAAGAGCTGGGATACACAGATGGGAATGTCAGGAGAGAGTCAGGATACACAGATGGGGATGTCAGGAGAGAGTCAGGATACACAGATGGGGAAGGCGAGAGATGGGATATACAGATGGGGAAAGGAGGAGAGCGCTAGGAAACCTACAGACTACAATATAAAAGGAAATAAACATTAAAACACATTTATGTGGTGAAAATAAAGATTGAACTGAAATATGAGACACACTATGGACTAAAGTATGAAAAATAAGTGGTAATGGAAAGCAAAGAGGATGATCAAGTTCTATATTGGACAGCACTACCTCTGCTGGCTAGGAGTGCCTGCTTTGACAAACAACTTCCACTTACCTGAATTAAAATGAGGCTGGAAATCTCGACACAAGGATACGCTACACCTAGCACACATTCCCTGCATATTTATGTCATTGTGACTAAAAAAGGAGCAGTCATGATTTCAATTATGTCTAAGATATGTGTATAACAATTTACAACAGAATGAGAAGATAAGCTTAATGACAAAATATGTAATATATGACTAAAATAAATATAGAACTAATATTTAAACAATTAAATACATAATATTGACTTTTGAGACTAATCGAGTATGATACAATGAATAGGGAATACAACAAATAAATTCGGTGCAAAAGAATGCATGATATCCATTATATTAACTTATTAATATGACCAGCAAAATACAGGGATGTACAACCCAGATCCTTATATTAATACGGAAATGATGACCAGCAGTGAAAAATATGATACTGCAAGATAAGAGAGGATTGGTAAAATATTAATACAGTATTGCACAGGCAAACACAATCTATAACCGACTAAAATTACAAACCAATTGATCTTTTAACTACTGGCGACTACTAAGGAGCAGAGCTGCCTCATTCACTAATCCTTTAAATATTAAGACAAGAAATCATTGATGTTTACTGCCGTGAAAAATAATTGGTATTATGGTGAGGATTTCCAAAAACTAAAATATAACCCAAGCCCCCAAGCTTGTGGATCTATCATATTTATCATAAATTTCAACGACAATGTTTTGCCTTTTATAAATATGAAGTGTAGGTTATATATTCTTCTACATCATGTAGTCACCTTTATCAGTATGGAGTTCCTTAAATAATCATTATAAGACACAGATTTATTAGTTTTCCTGTAACTCTTTCACAATGAAAAATTTATTTTGTATCACTTCAACAATATGCACTGCATCCTTTCTCATACCAAGCATATCACATATGGTAATCATCCATCAATCAGATAATATACAAATATTCTATTCACATGTACGGGAGTTAATAAGATGAACATCTTATATTAGACAAAATCCTCATGCATTCCTATTACTTTGTGATTTAATAAATGAATCTGTTGGATTGATGCATATTTTTAAGGCTGAAGTCTAAATTTCAAAATCAGTCCTCATCATTGCTGAAACCTGTCCACAAAACTTTAATTTAAAGTAAATAATCTTTTATCCTTGAGAATTTTATAATGAATATGTCTTATCACAAACAAGAAAGGTGCAACAAGTACGAGGACTGACGAGAAACACTTAAAATTATAGCAGCATCTTATCCATCGACACTTAGATGAGTCAACTACTACTTCACACTACATTTCTAGTTCAGGGACTCAACTCTTCAATTTTGGTCAGGCATCCGATATCGCTTAACTATTTTCTGGCTTATCATAATAAAAAAAGCAAAATAACTTGCTTGCATGGTCTGAGTATCAATCAAGAAGCCAGGAAATATCAAGTGATGTATTTTACATATTAGAGTAGATACAAAATACAGCCAAACTATAATAATATACAATATGATACAAGTTAATCTCATAATATGCTACTTAAAATTACCTTTGCATAATAAGGGAATGCAGTGAGTTATAATACTGATTCAAAAGAAAGTAAAAATATACAAATAAGTTCAGTACAAGAAAATAAACGGTTATGTTTCATAGTAAAAGAGACAACAAACATAATTGTTCATCTCCGAGTCAGACTAACAAAACTATTACAGATTACAGTATTGGTATCGGGACTCGTCAGCACGTAAAGATTATACAAAATTTTCTGCTCACAGGCACCAATCATCAGTTTTGTGCACAGCAGTTGTTCTTTCCAAATCTGTGCTCTTTGTAAACAGATATATACAAATACTTACATTTTCATTCACACTATAATTTCGGCACCAGGACAAATTCTACAAAATAAATACTAATCAACACAAACGAGCCTAGGGATGAGCATTTTGTGGCCTGCCTTACCTAGGTCACACACAGGTGAATGTTTGGATCCCTCAGCATGTGTAATTATTGCACACCACCAGTCTTGACACACACTATCCAATCAGCCAATATTTTTCTTTTAACATAAAACAATAAAAAGTCAATGATTCCCAGCTGAAAGATATTTTAATATGTATCTGATCTAAATTCTTCAGCTGAAAATATTATGAATCCACTAAAATAAACCACTCAACATGTGTTTAACATCATTTGACTGAATGGCTACAAAATATGTAACAGCCTGAAAGATAATCAACGTGTTTGCTGTATTGCATTCCTACAGCGTGACATATTTACATCACATTTGGAATGTTAGTTTTGCAACAAAAAGATATTCATGATTTATGCTCTAAAACAAGGAAACAAAATAGTTATTAACTGACAAACAGCAGACCTATAAAAAATAAAGTTTATTAACCTTGATTGATACAATTAATATCAATTAGACTGACAAGATAACAATTATGTTCTATTCAAAGGTAGTATGGTTTAGGCAGTCAGGGAAAAGATGGGTCTTAAGTGTTAGTCCTCCAGCAGCTACTGGCCAATCACCGAGGCAAAGTAGAAACAAGGAAGACTAGAAGAGCAGTCATACAAAAATATGCTAGAATTGACTCTGTAATCAATGGGACTGACACTTGCAATTAGAAACACCAATTCTATTAAGTACACTTACTAATAAAGAGCTTAATGCTCACATACACCAATGCGCAACATGACTTGGACTTCTCTCTGCTCTGGGCAAAACCATTTATTGGTATACATTTGTGACTTCCATAATAATGATACTATTAAAAATTGTATGGCTCATTTAGTCATTTTACATTGTAATAGTGTTTAACTATCATGTGTACTATGTGACTATTATTCCAATATACTAATACATATAAGCTGTACATACTACTAACCAAGCTCTGAGTGTAAAGCTCCCTAACACTGAACTTGTACTTATAGTAGTCCCTCATTGTACTCTGGACTGTCAAGAGTGATGGGCCGTGACCGCGACGTCTCCAACCTGGGTAATGTTGGAGAAATCGACGATGAGTAAGTTCTGGATTGTTGGGTAAAATCCTGTGTGAAACTGAAATCTTGAAGTGTGGTAGAAAGATCATCGGAAGAAATGTCCAAAGGCGAAGAAAAGTGATGTACAGTTGTACGGTCCAGTGAATTGGAAAAATTTCTTGGAGAGCTGTTTGGGGTTGAGGAATGATCTCTTGGGGAAGACAGAGAATCGTCTGCATCCACATGAATCATTATTTTATTGGGATCCTTAGAACTAGTGTTAATAAACTTGAGTTCCTCAACAGGAGGAGATTTTGAGATTTGAGTTTTAAGGATTACCGTTTCTGTGTTCCCTGAGTATGGTACAAAGATTCTCACAGTATCCGGTGTCTCAGTAGCTTTTGGAGTGGCAGGCTCAGATAGTAGGGCCTCCTTGTCCTGTAAAGTGGTCTGACTGACAGACAAACAAGACGGTCGTGGGGTGGATGGGCTGTGGGATGGACTGCCCAATATTCCATTGTGGACAACCTCACCTTCACTCTGTATCGATCGTGTATCACCATGTAAATCACCATTTGTTTGATGTGGTAGTGATTGTGATGGTGAATGACTATTAGAGTGTCTGAATTTTTCTGTTGGAGATCTTGGTGATCGTACCGATTGCACTGAGTGTGTGTCAGGAGATATGAGTGAACGGCCGGACTGAATGGAAGCTGCGTCAATATCCCCTCGTCTGGCCAATGTAACTGATGAAAGCGTTGACAAGTCTGCAGCCGATGTAAGGGATGTGTTTGCAAGGGAGGCTCTGGAACCTCCTACTCCGCCTAGGCTGCTTACTTCATCAATGCTGCACTCCAGTGAATACCTTGACCCTGTAGCCACAGCCATCACATTATAAAAACATTTATGTACATGATAATTAAAATAAACACATTAAATATGATTTTAAGGCAATTCATAACCATACTAGCACGAGAAAAACAAAATTGGTATTAAGCATGGTGAAACACTACTGTATTTTCTGAGCTAGTCCCTTGGTCCACAAGAACAATAACACTTAAACTTCTTATAACCTTCCCATACAGGTCTGATAAGGATCTTAGATACTAGTCTTACCAAGGATAAAGGTAAAACAGATATACAATGGCGAATCTAACTTGTGCCACTACATAGGAGCCAGCCTGCTATTGTTTAGCATAATCCATTGCAGAAAGCTATGTACTTTCAAAACACCCTTGGAAACAAGAATTAGTGCTCTGAACAGTAATTACAAACTGAGCTACCCTCTGCCATCTCTAGAGGGCAACATCCTATATGTAAACAGAGTGGCAAGGAAGTACATCTGCACTTTCAGCCAAGCCCACCCAAACAAGCTCAATGAATACAGGATAAAATGTATAGGAATGGAAGAATCTGAGGGACCAGATAAGACAGCAAAGTTAAACTATGCTGAACATGCTGCTACTTAACTAAGGCGACGACTTAAATCATCTCCCCACATTGAATGAAGGGCAAAAAATAAGAAACAAATGTGTTAAGACAAGTTGAACTCGGCTGAACATCAATGAAGATGAGAGAGGTACCTCTTGTTGACTTGCCCACGCATTTCACAGCCACAGACAAAGGAAATGCAGGTCTACACATTAATGACATGGATGATGTACACTGTCGAGGAATCTTGCAGTGAAAAGATCCTGTTTGAACTTCATAAACAAAAGACCTGCAGTCAGACATCAGTATTAGAAAAGGAAACCAGAAACCGTAGGCTGAAAAACAGAGGCGAGAAAATTCCAAGATACCGGAACATCAACACTACTGGACAAAGGACAAACAACCAAAAGGCTAAACCGAAGAAGAGCACCAATCATGGGCAAAATGCAGGGGAAGGCCAAAGCTGAAGAGACAGAACCACAACTCTGTAGAACCAAAAGGCATTCTTGGATCACACCCTCACTAAGGCATGTGATCCAAGAATGCACCAGGAAACCTGAGGATCTCTAGGAGAGATGGCAGGAACAAATAATTTCCCAGTTATCATGCACGGGGGGGGGAGGGGGTGATGCCAACTTAGGGTACTGAGATGAACTCCAAGGAATTCTGGGAACTCTCCCAATGGTCTAAGGGAATCACTGGAGAAACTAGGGGTACAATCTCTCAATCCCAGAGACCCGGGATTCTTACCCAGATTTCTAGGGTACTCTCCCAGGAAACAGGGGCACCCTACCACGTGATAGTATATTTTATCATAGAACTTGAGATTGATCAATGAAACAAAGATGAGGCACCTGGAGATTCGAGGTACACACCCAGAGATCCATGGTTCACTTTGCAGGGTTTTAGGGTACTAACTCATGGATCTGGAGGGTACTCTTGGGAATCTTGGGCATTCTCTCAAGTATTCAGAGTACTCTTCCATGGATACAGGCCACTCTCCTAGGAAACAATCTCAGGATTCAAAGTAGTTCGGGATACAAGCAGAAATTCATCTGCATAGAGTATGACCCCATGTGAAAACACATCTCCTGAAGCTGAACTACCGGAACACAGAAGGACTCAGAATGGGATCAGGTTGGTTTAACATGAACCCAGGCTGTCCAGAACCATGGATTGAGTGGTTACATAAGGTTAGAAGTTTAATGTAATTAATAATGGTTCTCAACCTCAATAGAAATGGGGGAGGGAGGGAATTATCAGGGAAAAGCACAAAACCATTACAACTATATAGCACTTGGAAAGGGTCAGGATAAGGATTTAGGATGGGATGAGGGAAAAGAATGGTGAGCAACCACTGGGACAGTCAGGAATTGAATGTCGACCTGCATGAAGCAAGACCGTAGCTCTACCATCCAGCCCAAGTGGTTGGGAATAATACCAAAACTAGAGGAAAAAATAATTATCTCCCACTAATACCGGATCAGACACATTACACCGAACACAGTGGTACCAACTCCAGAAATGAGTAGGATGGACTAGTAGCTTGGGGTCCAAGAAGAGGCAATAAGGTATACCCGTAGAAGATTGAACATACTGTACATGTCACACACATTCACAAACAAGAGTGGTAGATGGTTAAAACAAGTTAGGTGAGAAGGTGGTAGTGGCCAAAACCGTCAGTAATTTCAAAGCGTTGTATGACAGTGCTGGGAAGATGGGACACCACGAGCGTAGCTCTTATCCTGCAACTACACTTAGGTAATTACACATCAATGATAGGAGGCTGCAACTTTGCCCTGTTGCTGTCCAAATTGGACTAAATGAGAGGCCAGCTGTGAGAACAGATAAGAATTCATAAATGCGAACAAACCCTAAGGAAGTGAGAAGTGCTGAAGAGCCATACAGATTACTACCAGCTCTACACATTGATGCGAAGAGACATCAATTCCGGAGACCAATATCCTTGTACGGAGTGAAGAAGAGGCAAAACCAATCTCAATTCCATGCTGAAGGCAGGGATGCCAGATGTGAGTTGCTGGAAGTCACGAGCTGCATTTTGAAATTAAATGAATTTAACTTGTTATGTCTTGCATCTGTTTGCTTAACCAATTAAAACCTTCCTTCAAAATGTAATTAGAGGTCGCACAATAAATTTGTCCCTATTAAATTTACTGATAATTTTCTTGTCTCCCCTTGACATTCTGCCAATCACCACCATTGCTACACCATGAAATAAGTCTTCAGCAATTATGTAGTCAACAAGCAGACCAAAGACTTTTGAAAGTAATTTTCTTTTCCAAATTTCTTTAGTTTCACTCTACATTTTTGTACCCTGGGACACCACCCACATAACCTGCTCAAGTACACACACAGATCACACTAACGTGATGCATCAAATGAACAAATCCACAAGGGCCGTGACGAGGATTCGAACCTGCGTCCAGTGTCTGGGAGCATCCCAGACGCTGCCTTAATCGACTGAGCTACGACTGCTCAAGTATACTATGTAGAGGCGTGCTAAGAACCCCCTGGAATCCTATCGGGAAAGGTTTATCAGCTCGCTGAGGTGATTGTGCGCGCATGGGGGCTGTAATGCAGTAATATATATATGCTCTTCAAGGATTGATACAAGTACCACCTTAAGAAAAAATCGAACATAAAAAATACATATATATTTTAAATGTTAATTAAATAACATTATACTGAACAACTTACATGACATATAAACATATACTGTACCTGCTAATGTCAACCAAATACAGCATTTGAAAAATATAGAAATCCCTTACTACTAAACATTCTATATTCACACATTCAGCTATCTAAGGTACAATACAAAAATATTAAAATATTTGACAAAACACAACAATGTGTATCTTTAAGATACCTTATTTACATCATGCTTGGAAGTGTTGTACTGAAGATAAATCAATATACTCTAAGCATTTCACAAATACAAATTATATATATCTATCGAGTTGTCTGCTAATTACACCCAGAAATCTGAAAGCAAACTAAACTCCAAATGTTCGATAATGCTAGCTGCTTTAAATAATTTGCCACTACAATTACACGAAACATCTACACACACATATTTTTCATGCTTTATTATTTGCCTTTTGTATGTTGCACTACGGAAGACAATTGGGACAGGTTTGGCCATAAAATAATGTAATCTAGCAATGCACATCAATTAATTTCTTTGAGACCAAGTACAGTACATATCTGAATTACCACATCATAATGCTTTATTTTAGCCATGTTGCCTAGCTGTCTGTCTGTGTATATATATGTATGTACTGACCTAGTTATATGTATGTATGTATGTATACACATACAGTATATACATATAGCCAAGCTGCATTACCTAGTAATATCATTAGTTTTTTCCCTGCATTATGATGTTGATCACAGAAGCTTTTCTAATGCATACATTATATACCGACTATATTTTAAATTCAAGATCAATTTAACAGACCAGACCAGAACTAATGCACCAGGAATCCAAATCCAGATGGCTGGGAAAGGAATACAGGAATAAAGCTTGCACACACAAGACTGCCTGGAAGCCCAAACTGACCAGTCGTTGATGTAGGCCCTAACAGACATCTGAAATATGCGGCTTGGTGAGGAACCTTCCCCTCCCCTCCTCCCAGGTGCTGAACTACCATGAACCCTTAGGAGCCAGAACCAAGCCAAAGAGGCAAACCAGGAAATGAAGTCTAACCAATCCCCTGAAACTTGGATGAAACATGATGGAGCAGAATGCATCACAGAGAGGTCCGTAGACATTAACTAAGAAAAGACTGCCTGGTACACCAACTGGAGCTACCATTTATACTACTACTAAGCCTACTCTCTGTCTCCCTCCTATAACACTATCCCTAACACAAGTGTCATTAAAGAAAATAATTGAAAGACATATTGCTAGGTTACAGTATGACTCTCTTTAAGGTACACATTTGCTGCTGAACATCTCCATACCCAACTAGGCTGGATATTTATCATTTATTTTGTTTTCATTTTAAAATACAACAAGGATATTAAATATTTTTTTGTAAAAGAAGCTTTTGCGATCAAACTAACATTTGAGGTACTGTATAGGACAGCTGCAAGTTGAAATATTATGCAACATAATCACATACTCGCCACTTTTCTCTAGTCAAGCTGATCATCACTGAAGGTTATCACAAATATATTTAATATCATGCGTTTTCTTTCATCATTATGATCACAATAATTTATACTGTACACTATGTAATAAATGTTCTGTTGAGAGAGTTCATTATTTAGCATTTAAATATGAGAAACCAAATTAACTGAAAATATCATTCATTTAAGCAAAGCTTAACTCATCTTTATGTCTGCTTTTTTGACACTCATATTTTTGTAAGTGAATATGATAAACAATTATTCACTTATTAAATTTATTACCATCATAGTTTACAAACCTGCTTGTCAAAACTGGCAGGTAATTATGAGGAGAGTTTGCTGAAACCAGAGATTTATGTCGATTCAAATCCTTCTCTTAATCAATATAGATAACCAAGTTTAAATGGTCACCATTTTAAGTGGATTCTAGCAATTCTAAAACCTTTTATTGACCTCTTATGACATGCAGGAAATATGATGGGTATGCAGACGATGAGTCATAATAACGTCGCTTAAAATACGATGACTAAACCACACACCAGAAAGCGCCGTCAAATCCTCATTTTCGGGTGTGTGGTTTAATCTTCATATGACGGGTGTGTTCTAATCACACTCGCTCCCTAAGCATGTTTTGAAAGATGCTAACAGAGATATGCACTCTTTATTAAGCAATATTAGCATCTGTGATCATTTGTGCACATGTATAATTAAACTGATATATAAAACAAATCAAATATAAATTTTTAGGACTTGCTACACAACATGCACAGTACCATGACAAATTAACAAGGAACAAAATTCATCAAAACAAAAATGGCTAATACACAAGATGGCATTCAAAGCACACAACAGACTGGTAAAAATAAAAAAAAAATGTAAAAATAACAAATTAAGAAATAAAGTAATATAATATAGCAAAGCAGGAAACCAGAAAAAACATGTCAAATGAGAAAAGGGACAAGACAAGGGAACAACCTACAGATACACGTGACACAGAAGACGATACAAATATCACACGACACTTGTAGTTTTGCAGTCCTTGGGATTCAGGGGCATAAAGATTTGGAAAACTTAAATTACCTTTTTTTCCTATAAGGTGCCAATTTGGGAGGGGGTATAAATAATTAATTTTTAATTATATAATTAGTGGGTGAAAGTTTTTAAAATTGACAATTTTTTTATAATTTTTAAAAAGATATTCTCTTCCTCACATTAGCTGGTAAAACTGACAAATTTTAATGGCATCTAACTGAAGATTGGGCCCAACACACAATTCAATAGTAAATTTATAAACAAGAAATGAATGCCATGTCAACCTAAATATTAAAATAAGAAAAAGCTGAACATCTTCTAATCATATAAGCCTCATACCATAAAACCATCAAATGACAACCCAGTACAAGGCACAGCCATCAAGTTAGATCCAGCAGACAGAAAAGCTTCACAAGTCATACTACAAGAACACAATGATAAATGAAACTGCTGAAAGCCTATTAGCTGCCAGAGAGAAGAAAAGGCACGAAGCATTTAAAACGAAAAGGAGAAACCAGGCTAGGCGACATAGCTTCAGTCGTGTGACTTCTGGCCCTCATGGCCCTCAGTTCTGATTAGCTTGGCGAGGACGCTGAGGCACTTGGCTCTGGATCCATTATGGGCCGTCCTCTTTCCTTGGTGGCCAGCCCAGCCTTGGTTTCTGGAACTTCTAGTCCGCTGTTTGAACCAGGGAATTTTTCCACATCTCCACCTCTTTAGCAAATCTGCCCAATGATGTACGTAACTGATTTAACCTTCCCCTCTGCTCTAATCGTCTGGAGTTTTTTTACACACTTCATTCACTATTTGTATGGTCAGCATTTGACAGGCTTGTTTATGTCCCATCTGCATCTTTGCTTGTGGTAAGCTGTACCAATTTGTCTGGCATTTGTTTTACCACACTCTTCGTAGTTGTTTTGTTGATTTCATTCAAAGCTGTCCTGTCTGTTTTGTCTCGGTTGTTTCTAGCACTGCTGGAGCTCTTTTTGCTGGTGTTCAGCAGCAGCTCGTCCTTGGTGCCATTGTGCAGGTTGTCTCCTGTGTTTCTTCTCCTCCAGTCAGCTCCTGCTCCTCCTGAGCCAACCAGGTTTCTTGACTGGGTGCTGGCTTTCCTCTGCTTACCTCATTTTACTGTTTACCCTTCAGCTTGTAATATCTTTCTTAAAGCTGTGTTTTTGTTGGCTCTTTCCTCCGGCTGTAGGGTGGGAAGCTTTAGGCTCTTCTCCGGAGGTGGAATTTTGTTTTCCTTTGACACTGGTGAGCAGTTTGTTCATTTGCAGCCTTCTTTTATGGTGAAGAATGAGTTGGCTAGCTTTCGGAGGGATTCATTGGTGATTGATGCTTGGTTGATCCAGCCGGGGTTGCATCACTTGTTATGTCTAATGATAGCTTTTTGTCACTACCTACATGTCACTGGGTCTGTCTGTAGATCGTTTGTTGGTTGATCTTGTTTCGTTGGTCTCTTGTTCAATGAGGTTTGCATTTCCCAGATCATCCACAGTGTCATCAAATCTAGTCAGCCTGAAGTCTATCCTTGGGTCTATGATCTTCCCAAGTACACTGCAATTCTGCAATCTTTTCCAACATGTCCTTTGCTGATATTCAGGCTTGGGGGTTTTGGTGTTCTAACAAGAGACTTGGTGGCCAGGAATTTGGTTAATGTCCCTAGTTCCAGTCAGTCAGGCTGGGAGAGACAGCCTTGGGCTGTGTCTCCCAGCCTGGATTATCTTCTCTCTAGTGCATGCAACCTTTCCTCCTTCCTGATAAGTCCCATTTTTGTTCTCTGTGGATAGACAGCTTCTGGGAGCCACTATGGGCTCCCCTAGAAACCCAGAGCTGAATGCAATTAATTATTAATAATGAATTATCTTTCTGGATGCGTCCTGGTCCACCCTATCAGGTTAGATGGTTAATCAGTGTGCTGTTTATCAGCTCCAGAGCTGTCACAGAAGATTGTTACATGTAGAAGCTGGGCTGTCTGGTGGTAGCATTTAGTACTATGAGTTTTGAGCTAATTTTGTATATTTTTCTTGTTCTATGTGAATTGTTTGGCATTTTTGAGGCTTTGAACTTTGATAACCCCTTCAATTGTTTGTAAAGCTTTCCTGACTTTCTGGATGCTTTCCTGGTGTGATAGTTAGTGAATTGTTATTTGCTCTTTGCACCTCTAAAGGGCACCAGGTTTTGGCTCTGGTCCCCAGGAGGCCAAACTGAACTCTTGTCTCTAATGTGACCCATTTGCATGGAGCAATCTCAGCGAGAGAGCTTCAGGGAACCACAGGGGCTAATCCACAAAGCGGCATTTCATTACAATCAATGTTGAATTTTCACAACTACCCAGTACAGTACTTAAAAAAAAAAAAAAAAAAAAAAAAAAAAAAGCTCCCTGTTTTATTTAAATATATACCTGAAGAAATAAAGCTAGAGAGCTTACAATCTAAGACATTGCATATATACAAGACAACCTGGGAAATATAATTTTTCTGGTGCCACAATGTGATCACTAGTTCTGCACCATCATAGCATTTATCCTATCTATAAGTAGCCTGTTCTCAAGAGCATGTGTGGTATTTTGAATGTAAATTTAGTAATGTTAGACCATCAGGACTTAAAGAGTGGGGCAACGAAAAAATAAAACACTACTTTACCTACAAAGTTCAATCATGCAAGATAAAAAAAAATGGCAGTGTATGTATAAGATGAGACCACACACAAATTGAGATCTGTTTAAAATCTCGGTCGATAAGATCGTTTGGGCCTTGCACACGTGGGATCCGTGGTACGAGTCTCCTAGAGACCAGGTGAATGGAATGGATAGATATCTGTTTCCCCAGGCATACAAAGCCAACAGAGCTGCTTCCTAAATGCCCATGTCACAAAAAAGAATGATACCACACCTAATTATCTTGTCCATCTTCAATCTAAGATTATGAAGGCACCTAAGTAACTATGAATGCCAAGCCATGAGGATATTTGTCAGTCAAACCAGCCATGAGCAAGAGCAAAAAAAAATTGCAAGGTGCAGATCATTAAAGTGCAGGAAATAATTTCACAAACAGAAATCCAATTTCAATTTCCATCTTCATAAAAGATTTTCTGCCTTATGATATCTTAATGCTCAAATTTACTAAATAAATACATTGAATTTCAAATTCTTCAGATGTTCAATCTACCAACTAACAACAAATTATAAGCTGCCTTTTTCATCACTGTGTACTCATAATTATAAAAGGAACAATGTATCTTAAATTTGTGGCTAATAAAAAAATATATATATTGTGGAACTTAAAAAGTGCTAACACATCTTCAACTTATGGATGAATATATACATTAATACACAAGGAGAATAATGAAAAATATGGCAAAATATTGTATCATTTCAAAAACAGTCTAATAAATTATTTGTTTAATTAATTTGGAAACAAATTTATTTTCCATGTATGGCTGAAAGCAACAGACTGCAGACTTTAAAATGCTTGAATACTCATCCATCATATTTTTGCCGTTAAATGCAGCTACCTAATATGAGTATTTTAATAATGTCATTACTTTTTTCTGCATATGCCATGACTCAAAATTCATCTGGAATTCTGTGGTAATAAACAAAACCCATGCTAATATCCAAAAGGTAGATTTTTCCAATAGCAAAATGACTGCAATACACAAATATTAAAAAAACATTAATAAATACAGTTCCAAGGATTGTATTTAATTTATTTTGCGAGTGATATGAAATCTGAAGACCATACAGTGCTGAATTTCTTGTAAAAATAAAAATAATAATGCACAATTGTGTATAGCAGATTTGCCACAGAAAAACAAGGAAGCTATGAGGCAAGAACTTAGAAAGTGGCAAGTCTTTGACTAACCGCGGTCAACAGAGAGATGAGACCCATTGAGTCCAATAGTCTCCGTCCTCTTCATCAATTTCTCGGTGATCATTCTCTCCTCCTCTGTGAAATCTCGACGAATTCCCGATTCCTTCTCAATTGTAGGTTCTATGAACAATCCTGTTGAGTGATCATAAAAAACAACAACAGACATTATGTACGGTCAAAATGTATAATGATGCCCTTATCAGTAAGCAACAATGGAAACTTACTAGAAAGCTAATTGAAAATGAGACATAATAAAGTTGAGAGATATAAGCACAGAAGAATATTAGCTGAAGAAGAAATCCTATGTAGATGGAGTTAATAATGAAAATTGTGGGATGTTAGCATGACTGATTTTGCTGCTAATGCTGCCGAGATGAATGCAAAACATTACCAGAAATATTAATGTGTACTCATCAACAAGTCACAGTGATGTGGCTAAAAATTTGACACCACCAAACTCACAAATCTGAAAATATAGGAATTGATGACATTTTGGTTCATTCGCATTTTTCGTCAAATACTGTATAACTGCCAAACCAAACCTGTTAAAAAGTTACAAATGATACGGTTAAGATCAGCATGAGGTGATTATTAGATTGATTAGCAGTCCCCATGGTGCAGTGGTAAGTTATTCACCGGGAAGGATTGACTAGGCGCCAATTTTTAACTGTAGTTCTCTGTTCATCCAGCAGTGAATGTGTACTGCTGGATGTTAAAAAAAAAAATTGATTAGGTGGGTAAAGTTTGCTGAGGTTGGTTTGAGGAGAGCTGCTGCAGTGTGGCTGCCTAGGACCGTCTTTGTTTTTATATATTGTATTTCTATTGATATGCGTGGCCGAATTGGTTAGAGCATGTACTTGGGAGTACCCAGTGTGCAGTTTCGAATCCTCATCATGGCTTCTACTGATTTTCTCAGCCGAGAATGATGCCGCAGCAAATGACTGAATTCGAAACAAGTTTGGTTTGTAAAAGTTTCTAAAATACTTTTAGAAAAAATGTGAGCTCACGGGCAATGCTCCGACTACCTTGCAGTGCGCGGCTGGTCTAATGTAAAGGAAAGCGAGATTTATGTTCTTATATGCAAATATACCTTTACAGCATTCTACTGTGAACAATGATACCAAATTGAATAATGTAGCATGAAAATTAAGGTGAAAAAGCTGAAAACAAGTGTAAACATTGGAGTGAGGTTGTGTGCTCACGGACAACGCTCGGCTGACACTGCAGTGGGTTGCCCGCTGGGCCAACAAAAGTGTTAAGAATGTGGTGGAGGCAAAACCATCAGTACTGCAGTTTCAAAACTTTATGATAAAGAGTACTGGGAAACAGAACACAACGAGGGTAGCTCTCGCTCTAATTCAGCACACACTCTTGCTCTGAAGATGGAACTGTGTATCGAGCAGTACTCAAAATGGGGCAGCACAAGTGATTTGATTTGTATGAGCATTGTAATGGGGTCCCTGGATTTAAAGGTTCTAGTAATCCATCCCATCCTTTTACCTAGCGGACGCTATATTTGCTTGGTTATGCTCCCTAAAGTTAGGCTGTCAGATACCTGTATCATTATTCCTAGATATTCCATTACATCTGAGATAGTAATGGTCTTGATTATTTCTTCATTGTGAAGATCAGATCTAGAATATTTTCTGTTCTAGTTGGCTCCGTTATAAATTAACCTGTGATTCATACATCACAGGCTGCGAGCAGCCGCATTCAACAGCCTGGTTGGAGACCGGGCCACGGGGCCTTTGATCCCTGGCAGCTACACAAGGTAGACACAAGGTAGGTAGTTACCTGCTGGTTGAGTGAAAAGTTGTCACAGAATCAAAGTAGTTTTCTGACTTGTGATTGGTTATTTCTAAGATAGATTTCTTGGAACAGTATAACATTATTGTTTGCTATTCTCTAGCTAAGATGGGCATGTTAAAATCTCATAGAAGAGAGCATTTGATATTGAGTTTGCCAAATTATCGAGGCTATTCTCTATTATGTTTATCTGTTCTGTGATTTCCTCAACTGTTGCATCTGGCAGTTTGTATAATAGATTAATAACAGTTTAATTTCTCTATTTTACTACCAGCACACTTCCTTTTATACTGTTCTGTACATACTGTAGTTGTAGCTTGTCTACAATCACTTTAATGTCTAATATCTTCAATATATTGGGACAAGAGAGATTATATATATAATCAATCAACTCTTTGAATAAAAAGATGGACACTAAAACAACAACAACAATCAACAATATATATATTCTCTAATAAATTACAAGAAATCACATGAGAATATGTAGCCAGAGATGGGACACCACTCTAGGACGGAAGCACTAGATTTGGCACGACAGTTTCAGATGCGAGGCAGGAATAGCTGCTTGGGAGAGGGAAGTATTCTTCACTTGGGGTATCCAGTTCCCATGTCACTGGCAACCAGGCTTGCAGCTTATATGGCCAGCAGGTTATAGCAGGATAGACTAGTCACAGGCCAATAATGGGTGCCTCTATATAAGCCAAATCTGGCCAGCTTCATGAATGGAGGTGGGTGCTCTCAGAATGCGTGTGTGAAGGCCAGAAATCCTCATTGTTGTATTCTAGTATAACACTACAGTACTTTTCCTTTCCAGCAGTGGAGGTCACACAGTCGAGGAGTTGAGTGGGCCTGGGAATACCCAGCGTGACTGCATCATAAAGCTCTATAAGTTGACACTATCTTCATTGTCATCATCAGGATACAAGGGCAGAATAATGGTGTTCAGTGCCAGGGACCCTGAAGTCAGTCCAGGCGGTAGCACCACTGATGCTGCTGGAGGAGGAACTGGCCGCAAAGGCTGTGGCAGGTCTGGAATCAACGACAGACGTACCTGTGGGGAAAAAACACTGTGGGTGGCACTGGAGGGGCACATCTATCATAGTGTTTGTAAATGTGCAACCTTCAGACAGTTGAAGGTAATGTTCTTCTGCTTGATGTGGCATTCAACAATAAAAACACTAGAATGGGAGCACGCATTCTCAAGGGGCCCTCATATGGCAGCTGCAGGGTAAAAGACGTGGCTGGCAGAGTAGAGGTCATAGCGAAGGTAAGTTGGGTGTCTGGTGGAGTGGTGCGATGGTGTTGGACAGATTCTCGACACACATGTCTTAATCACCTAAACATGAAGGTGGTTGAGTTAAAACATTTTATGAAGTACCGGAGTGAGGAGTTCTCCAGGAAGCCAAAAGACAGATCCGTATGTAATATCCTATGACATTCATTGAATGTCATTCTTCATCGTTGAATGGCTGCTGGGAAGAACGAGACAGTGTGCATAAAACTAGGTGTTAGGTTGTAATTACCCAAGTATGGTATAGTTACAGGATGAGAGCTATGCTTATGGTGTCCTGTCTTTCCAGTACTCTGTCATGTAATGCTTTGAATCTACTAACAGTTTTGGCCTCCATCACCATCTCACTTAACTTATTCCAGCCATCTACCACTCTGAAAAAGTAAACTTTCTGATTTTTTCAGCAGTATTGTTTCCTTAGTTTGAATTTCTCTTGTTCTTGAAGTTGTACTTTTCAAAAATTGTCAATTTTATCAATTACTGGTATTATTTTGTAAGTAGTAATCATATCTCCTACAGCTTTGGTAGCTAAAGTACCTTCTAGCTTCATTCACTAAATGCCTTTAGCCTCTTTACATAGCTTTTATTTTTCAGTTTCAGAAGTCATTTAGTAACATGTCTTTACACCTTTTCTAGTTTAGTGATGTGCTTCTTAAGATATGTGCACCAAACAATTGCTGCATATTCTACACTTTTGTCTCACAAAGGTCATGAATAATTTTTTTCAATATTTCACCATCCATGTATTTTAAAGTGATTCTAAAGTTAGAAAGTGTAGCATACACTCCTTGCACATTATTCTTTACATGATACTCGAATGAGTTTTTTTTTTTATCCAGAACCAACCCTAGATCTCTCTCTTTATCAAAATTCTTTTAAGCCCTTTCACATAAATTTGTAGGTTGTTTGTGGCCAATTTTCTACTCCACATTCCATAACTTGGCATTTATACACATTAAATTCCATTTGCCAAGTGTTGCTTCATAAACTTATTTTGTCCAAGTCTTCTTGAAGGGCATGACAATCATAAGATTCTTATCTTCCTAAGTAGCTTGGTATCGTCTGCAAACATGTTTATATAAATCGGTTTTCCTTCTAGTAGAGCACTTATGTTGCGCCTGTGCTTTGAACAGATCTTTCAGCCGATTATGGAATCTCTCCACCCTATACCACTGAATTCAGGATGGCAAGCAGTGTGGATAGTACTGATGAACTTCAGAAAACCTGTCCAATGTGGGAGTCAAACTGGTGGATCTATTCAGCACCTTTAGCCATCTGGACAACTAGTCGACACAGGTGAGGAGATAGAAGCGATTTCGAGATGTAAGTAGGGCAATGATAATGTCGATACTGTATACAGTACTACTTCAAACCTACCGGAATACAGCAAGAACTAGCGTAGAGGGCCTTCACATGGTGTTACATGTTATACCCAGACACTGAAAATTGAAGTAGGCCCAAGAGCATGTAATGGCACTGATCCTAGGCCACACCACTTGCTATATTAACAGGCAGTGTGTTTCCAGGCTGCAAGGGTGGGCAAGAAATAACAAAGATTTTTCAACGATGTGAAGTTGGTATGTAAAGCCCAATTTCAGAAGTGTCCCAAGTAATGGTTTGGCAGAAGTTAGGTAATGGCACATCGATGAGCTGGAGGACCGAAAGTAAAGTTCACAATTTCAGAAGTAATGACATTGACCTGCAGTGACCATTCTGCATTCAACAATACCGGTGGCATACAGGCCTGCACCATGGCTAGGGAGGAAGATGGCATCAGCAAAAGTCTTTCATGTTCCCTTGATGTAGCCTATCCAAGGTGCTGAGGGACTGGTGGGTTACCTGTAACCTGTGCATTGGCCTGGGGCCAAGCTTTCCTTGTGATTAAATGAACACGTCCACAAGGGCCGTGATGAGGGTTCGAACCTACATCCGGGATGATCTGGTATGTGAGGTTATTGGCCTGTGTTCTACAAAAGGGCCACAGTTCTATCAGTCAGGTTAGTTCAGTAGTTCAAGCAAAAACTATTTCCTCTTGAAATCTTCCTGTTTTGTTTCAGCATTATTTTTTATATTTGTTTAATATTTTCTCCAATTGTGCTTAAGCATGGCAAATCTCCAAACTGATGTAAATCAGGTCTTCCAATGGGTCACAAATAATTTGCTAAATGATAAGTTCTAATGCTTGCACTGTGGAAAAAACAAAAACCACATATAGAATGCAGTCAAATCACCATTCAAAGAAAAAGCAACGTAAAAGATCTGGGAGTAATCTTGTTGGAAGACTTTACTTGCTCCCAGTACTTTTTCTCGTCCCCTTATCAGACATAGACAAGGATACAAACTATAGTACTGTATCTTCCTTTGCAGATAAAACTAGGATTTTCATGAGAGTAGACAATATAGATTACACAGCAAACATTCAATCTGATGTAACTGAAGTCTTTCATTCGGCTACAGATATGATGTTTAATGAAGTTCCAGCTCCTGTGCTATGGAAGAAATGTAAAACCACATAGAATAGTCATATCACACTATAGACCGAAAAAAAGCAATGCAAAGGATCGGAGTAATAATGTCAGAAGACCATACCTTTAAAGAAAACAATAAAGTAGCTATCACGGCTGCATGAAAAAGGCAGATTAGATAACAAGAACCTTTCAACAAGGGATGCCATACCAATGATGATACTCACTACACAGACATTCCATTATCGTGATATCAATGAGAAAATCTACAGGAGCCGTGATGAGGATTCGAAACTATGTGCTGGATATTCTCAGATGCACGCTCTGAGAACACTCAGTGCATAGGTTCGAATCCTCATCACGGCTCCTGTAGATTTTCTCATTGATGATCCTTCTGATACTTTTAAGACACTAGTACTCTCTAGGGTGGAATACTGTTGCACAGTAAGATCCCCATTCAAACCTAGAGAAATGGCTGACCTGGAGAATGTGCAAAGATCCTTTACTACCAGAATCCATTCTATAAAACATTAAAATTATTGGGACCGATTAAAATGTTTAAATTTGAACTCTCTAGAGAGCAGGTGAGAAAGATACATCATAATTTGTACCTGGAAAATATTAGAGGAACTGGTTCCTAATCCGCACATGGAAATACCATCACGAGATCAGCAGGCATAGCAGGATGTGCAACAAAATAGCCCCATTGAAAAGCAATAGGCTCACAGAAAATTCTATCAACATCAAAGGCCCAAGACTTTTCAACATTTTCCCTCTACACATAAGGGACTTAACTCATGGTGTTCAAGAGAAAACTTGGTAAGTTTTCAAAACTTGATCATAACACAGGCTGTGATTCATATGTTAGGCTGCAAGCAGCCATGTCCAACAGCCTGGTTAACCAGACCACCAACCAGAAGGCATATTCAGAGACCAGGCCGTGCGGACATTGTTCCCCCGGAATCACCAAAAGATATGAAATGAATAATACAGTTTCATTCATGTATAAATGAGTTCTTACATTTTCATTAAGTAGAAAGAGTATTGCCAAGGGAACATACCTAGGTGTATAAATCTTTAAACATATATAAAATTTTATATACATATATGCTGTATAAAGCTTTATACAGTATATGTACAATATTTCTAGACATAGTATACAAAAACACACAGGTCACGTATGATGGAAGCAAACAAGATACTTCCAGTTTACTAAAATAAAATAAAAATGAACCACAAAAATTACATATCAATTTGTATGCTAAATGGTTAGTTAGATCATTCAGTGTGTTTTCGTATGAAAATATAATAGTCCATGCGGTGATATACAAGGACAAGTAGTACTAAGCATCCTTACCAAAGGGTTGTTGAGGTAATTCCATGTCTGGCGGTGCTCCCGGATGATCTAATTTGGCTTTCTTCAATTCTTCCATTGACTTTTCCAAACTTTCTATTACATAGTCGTCTTCATAACCAAAATTCTTTTCCAATCTGCAACAAAATGAGAAAGAAATATAATACATAAAATTTCTCCTGCCATTCAAATATGAATTCTTAAATTATTTTCCTTGAGGATGGGATGACATGATACCTTATCCATCCATTCCCCCTTTCCATTTCCTTCTACAACACAGAATCACAACTGCTCTATCAGTTTCTTCCACCTGGTATCAAGATACTGTACATAGCTTGCCTTGTTTCTCCTATATTGTACTTAAATGGCTATAAGCTTGTTCTTAGCTCAACATGCTCTTCTTGCTTCTATGAGCACACCAGACTGGTCCTGGTGTTCAGAAGGCCTATTCATGTCCAGAGGCCGGGTACTTTTGAGAGTGTTTATTGTATCAGAGCCAATGCACCGGTGAGCTATTTTTCACCCCAGAAAAAGCACATAAACGTGCATTAAAACCCATTAGCATAATAAATAAAGTTAAAAAATTACTTGTCCTGCAAATTTCTAAAATGTTGACAATTTAGAAAATGTGTATTTGAATTTTGACTAGAAGAATATTAGCTGCAAACTTATATAGAGTTTATTAATAACTGATCTACTCACTTTTTTTGCAAGTAATCTAAAATCTGGTCCATATCCAGACGAGCTATTTGTCGACGATGAAGCTTAAGGATAGAGTAGGCAAAGGCAATGAGGAGGCGTTCTCCTTCCATCAGGAAGATGTCCCACAGCCGTAGGGTTAGAGTGAATGGAACCTAAGAACAAATCAAATTAAAGTATTAGCATACATTTACACATTGTTTGCTTATCTGTTTATCTCAACATTAAATTTTCTCAAAACCAGGCATACAAAAAACACCATCGTTGAATTAATTGAAACACCAGTTTTTGGGCGAGCCTCGGAGGCTCCCTGAAGCTATCATTCAGTGCCATCAGTCACCAAGTTCTATTTGCCTACTGTGGACCATGAGCCAGAACCTGTTTCCTTCATAGTTACAGGGAAAAATGGCCTATTATCACTTTAAAGGTTATCATCTCTGCCATCACCTAGGGATATCACCCAGAAAGATAGGCAAATCAAAACAAACCACTGCATGGTTAAAAACGAGACTGCAGCCCAAAAATTGTCAAAGAGAGCTCCCCAATAATAAAAATAAAAAAATAAAATTTCATACAACCAGCCCCCCTGCTAGTTTGCCACCCCCTTCCACCCTGGGGGAAGAGGGAACTAGCCCAGGTCAGCCGCACTCATACTGACCAGTTCTAAAATGATAAAACATACTGATGACCTGGGAAAGGGAGGGTGTCAGGGAGCCTCTGAGGCTCACCCAGAAACTGGCATTTCAGCATTTCAATACATTCAATGCTGGTTTAGAATGTAATGAAATGCCAGTTTCATTACATTAGTTTGTAGGGATTCTTGCCACCAGCCTACAAATGGGCTCAATCTATCTTTAAGTGAATTATTACCATTTATTTTGATCTTTAACGTAACATTAACTTGTTTGTTTGCTTTTCATTTTTGCACATTCCATCTGCCCTAATGGACATTGCTCTATTAGTCATTTTACAGTGACAATGGTAATTAAATCATTAAAAATATGGTAATTAAATAATCAGATAATGTATCTATATAAGAGAATTTGGTACTTTGAAACAAACCCACCCTATCAAGAAAACACTGAAAGAACCATTTGAGAGTGTAGAGCCCAGAGTCTATGCAATTCCTTTCCAAATGCTTTTTAAGTTTCGGCAGAAATTTTTCGAGTATTTTGTCGTGGTGCTGTTGATATCGCAAAAGTTTTGGAAAGCCAGGTATGAAGAAGCCTGAAAAGATAAAAAAATATATATATAAATAAAACACACAGTATTACTGAACTATGAAAATTAATTTCAAAATGTTACAAAAATACTGGAAATATTAGTACTGTTCAGTAGTAAAGATAAACCAATTAATTAGTAGTTCAGAGGTATGCCACAAAACTAGTCCTAGAGAAGTATGAGCTACAGGAAAAAGTTACAGGAAGTAAACCTCATGTCATAGGAAGACAAGTTAGTGGAGACATGATTACTACTTACAAATTTTCAGATAAATTGATAAGGTAGATGAAGATAGACTGTTTAAGAAAGGGGATATATGAACAAGGGGACACAGAATGAAACTTATTATCCAAATAAGCCATACAACATTAGAAAGCCATGGAATGCACTAGGAAGTGATGTGATGGAGGTAGAGTGCATACACAGTTTCAAATGTAGATACAATAGAGCCCAATAGGCTCAGGAACCTGTATACTGTACCAGTTGATTGACAGTTAAGAGGTGGGACCAAAGAGCCACAGCTCAACCCTCTGCAAGCACAACTAAGTAAGTACAGGTAACAAGCAGCCAATACCTGATTAGAACATCAAACTATAATTAGCAGCAACCACATTAGCAAAGAAAGCAACATACTTTTGTACACCATAAGTAAACATATGCATTAAGATGGCTGCACTGCTCTGTCAGATAGATAACCAGAGGAAGCCTGGCACTAAGGAAATGGGACTGACAAAGAACCACAGCTCAAAAAGTGTAAGTAGCACGTAAATAACATCTCACGGTGACAACAACGAACCAATTATCCATCACCATAAGACCCCGACAATAAGCAGATGATTCATTCTTAGCCCTTGAGGATGAAGGCTGAAGACAAGAGCAATCACCAGGATAAAGGAACAAAACCCTTTCATGTAACTATAAGCATGAAGTTCACAAACACAACTATCAGAAGCTAGATCCAACAAGTGTCTTGAGATAGGAAACTTAGCCGAGATACACAAGAAATCACAAAAGCAGAGAACAACGATATTAAATCCCAACAAACCAAGAGGAAGAGAGTGAAAGCACACAAACATTCTGGGGCAGAGCAGGGCAAGAAACCAGACTAGAGCCAAAGCCAAAAACCAGTCCTCCTAAATGTCACCTAAGCAGTTGGGTACCACAAAAAGCACACCAATACCCCAAAGTAGAAAGGAATGTCTACAAACCAGGGTGAGGTCAGGACCCAAGCATTGAAATGAAGACCCAATACCAAAAAGGAAACCTATGCCATATTACCCGAGGAAATGTAAACAGACACGCTGTTGAAAACCTATGCAAAAAATGCAAATTCAGGAAACTGACCAATACCCAGAAATATGCATGGGAAGGAGCAATCGTGGAACCATAAGCAAAAAAATGACAGAACCCACCCCGCCAAACAGAGACCCCCCTCCTCATAGAAAATCAAAGGCCTAGAAGAGTTGAAGGACACTCACGAACCCACCTCGGGGTTCACAAACCAAGAGAGGATGAACCCGAGAAAGACCCAAGATACAAATCAGATGCAAAAGAGGACTGGTAAGTAACACCCAAGAAGATTTGTGTCCCACATGATGCCCCATAACAGAAGACAATTGCGAGTTCACCATAGCCTGTGCTATTTGGAACTTGTTCCAAGTAGCGAATCTTAAACAGCAACAACAACAACAACAACAACAACAGAAGGCAATGAACCCCCAAATGGGAAAATGGCAGTTCAGTTGCCTCTGCCATCGCCCAAGATGGGGAAAGAGATGCATAATAGTATTCCCAAGCCAAGTTAAAACCAGACATGGCAAAGAGCACAAAGCTCAGTGACCCAATTACCCATAGCAAGGGCCTTAAGAAACACAGCCTAGAGTTTCAGATGCTAAAATGTGAGAATAACCTGAAATCAATCCAAGCTTTATCAAGATGGAACTGAAGAAAGCTAGACCAAAGCTAAGAAACCATTTCCACTAGAGCATCCCAACAAGAAGTGACCATTGGGCAGGAGTTGCCACTCGGTGAAAAGCCATGTAAGGAAAGACAAGAAAAGAAACAGACAAAAAACTGAAAGCCCCCCCCCAGGCCATCTCATGCTATCCTACTGTAGTCTGAGAAATAATTCTGAACAAGAATTGAATTCTATAGTATTTTCATTTATCATGAGCATAATGCCTTCTGCATTCACAGTCGGGTGACAGTCAAATAAAGTAATACAAATACCAACTTACCATGCATAGCATATTTAGGTGAGGACATGAGGGCTGAAAGTGCCCAGAATGCATCCTCTTCATTCAGGTACATGAGTAACAAAGCAGCGATCTGGGACATCCCTTGGCAGTAGCCCACTTCTTGGTTGTACATTGAATATGCAACTGAAAAATAATTATGATAATTGTTCAAGACATATTCATGGTAACTTTAGGGGAAAATGAATGGAAGCCTGAAAGGCTACATGAAGAAAATGAATGTATGCAAGTTCTATGAGAACAAAAGGTCAAGTGGTGGAAAAATGAACTACATTGAAAAATTAAAGCTTTAAAATCTCTGAAGACTTTTGGATAGTTTAAAAATGAGCGCCATAAAATTCTCGTTCTCCTTTGTAGGCCTCTCGGCTTCGTGGGCCATTGACACACGCCGTCGACCTCGTGTGTTGACATCCCTCGTGACCAGACCACTCCTTTCCCCCAATTGTCCAGTTCTGGGGGTGACTACAATAGTCTCCCTACAGCCCTCACATGTGTGGGAGAGAACCTGTAACTTCACTTTCTAGCAAGATGTTTATTATCTTAACAGAATCTTAAGACCTAATTTCTAAATTTAATAAATTTATGTACCAATTTTATCATTCATCATTCTCTTCCAATGTTAAAAAAGTAGTGATCAGTGATCAGCTACTGATCACTTTACTCATTCTGTGAATGTGTTTAATGGCTCATTTTCATCATAATTCATTTTCACATGTTTCACAGGGTAGGGAAGCATCTTCCTACAGACATATCTCATTCTCCTCCTGAACCATCTTTGTCTCTTGTCAATGTTTTGATTTTTTTTTTGTCTTTCCCCAACTTGGCTTACAGTTTTTTCCCCCAGCTTGCGATATCGTTCTTAAGAAGGTTATCAGGGCGTGTGCTCCATTCATTCTTTAATGGCTTCTAGTTCACCAGTTTAGTCAACAGGCTTTGTGGGATTCAATCCATAATACCTTCCTTTCCCATTACTTGTTTATGGACACCTCAGCCCTGGGTTGGGGTTTTGTGACCAGTGCTATTAGACCATCCAGGATCAAATGTTGGGTCCTCTTCGTCAGGTGCACAGAATGGTGCATACGTTTGCAGCTGTGTGGCTGGCTCTGTGTGGCGTTAGTCTTCCTCTGGTGTTCCATGATCAAGGAATGCTTACTTTTGGGCTACAGACTACAGCTAAGTTTAGTTAGGAGATTATGTAAAATCTTGCAACAACCAGATTAAATTCCAACTTATAAGATGTTCCCGAGATGATTTAACATACCTACAACTATACACTACAAAACTCAATACACCTTAAACTCTATCCACTTAACACACACAAATTTCAAAAAATTAAATTACAGTACAGTAGTTTGAGTCTACTATTTCTATACTTTCATTTACAAATTATTAGTACTGGAAGAAAGAGTTCTGACAAAAGCATAACTATTAGTAAAACAATCATATTGGTGCAGCCAGCAAGCACTAGCCCTTGCATAACAGTTCTTACCAAGAACATGGAAGAGCTGTTGCTGCTTCTCATCATATCTTTTGCGAAACATAGTATGGTCCCTGTATGTTCTATTTACATCCAAGTCAATTTGTCGGACATCTGTAGACCACTTGCATCCGAGTCTCCTCATTTCCTGTTGATTGATATCAACACACACAATTACATACAGTATATTCATCAACCATATCAAGAATATAAGCTGCAAATCTTGCATTTAGGTCTAGTAACTTTCCTGACAAATTTGTTAAGAGTTGTTTCATAAAACAATCATAAAAATTAGCTCAATTTAACTTTTATATGAATTTCAAATAAAGTCAATACTGTATTAGAAACTAGATGAAAGTCAGATTATGCCCATTTAAGCACTAAACACCAAAAACCTTTATACTGTATTTTTTATTAAAATAATAGTTTGTTCTATGTCGTAGCTCAGTCGATTAAGGCAGCGTCTGGGATGATTTCGGACGTAGGTTCGAATCCTCGTCACGGCCTTTGTGGATTTGTTCTACCCAGTTTGTTTGCTCACTGGATGGTGGTACATCAGACATAGTCTACATCTTTTTACTAAGTAACAGAAATGGAACTAATGGGACTCGGGATTTCTCCAAAAAACGGCAAATGATTAACAAAGGTCTCTAGTGTTAAAAGACATCAAGAATAGGCGGAGGGTTTGAATAAAATATGGCACCTTAAATCATCTCTAGGTGATTGCAGCACATGACCCAATTGCTTTCGAGCAATTAAAGCAGTGCAAAAGTGAATCACGGTAAAAGTTTAATTTTATCCTAAGTTTCCCATCTGCAAATAATGTGAAATACATATTATTACAATAGGAGAATGTCAGAAAGGCATAACATGAGCTCCTCTTACCTCATATTTCCCTCTCTGTTCTTCCTTTATTTTTTCCAAAAGAAGTAATTTCGCCCAAACTACACCACGAAACCTATCTGGAATGCCTTTGTATATTCTTTTGATGAATTTTTCCTTGTCCCAGTATTTCTCCCAGCTTTTAATCATCTTCAACCACTTTGGAATCCGAGAGAGCTCAATTTCCAACCGTTTCTCTTCTTCCTTTGAACGTGATTGTGGTAATCTTGTGTCACTGGCAGAAGCAATACAAAAGATTAGTCCAGTACATTTTAAGAGTAACGTGTATCCTTTCATGACTGAGAAAGCAAACAATGTACAACAGAGACATCAAAGGATGAATGATATGTCTAAGGAATGAGGGAGAAAACTAACTTTTTGATGAACTAAGGCTCAAGCATTGGATCCTATGAGAAATTAAAATAAATGGGTGTTTTATACTGAGAAAATAATTTGAGTAATAAAAAGATATATATTCTCATTTACTGAAACAATATATGAAACTTGTATAATAAACATTCACACAGAATGTAATCATTACATTCATTTAATGTATTGAAATGCCACTTTCCGGATGAGCCCCAGTGGCTCCCTAAAGTTATCTTGCCGACATTGCTCCATGCTAATGAAGCACGTAAGATGCAGGAGCTCTGTTTGGCTTACTTGGGACCAGAACCACAACCTGTCCCTCTCACAGAGATACAGAGATGCAGAGAGTGAATGACAATTCACTCTGCATCAATGAAATCATCCAGAAAGTGTGCGAAGCTTTACAAACAACTGGAGGGTTAACAAGACTGAAGCTTCGAAACTGTCGAGCAACTCTGCAGACGATTCACATGGAACAAGAGAAACATTCAAAATTTGTGTGAAACACTTAACCCCAGCACTGCGCACCTTTTATAATGACATTCCTTTGGTGTGCTGAAAATAAATTGTTACAAAAACAGTATTTTTTATTGATATTGTTAATTTGCACCCAGAAAGCATGAAAATCCAAGTAAAAAGTCTACCCTTGAACAAATCCACAAGGGCCTTGATCAGGGTTCGAACCTATGTGCTGTATGTTCCCAGAAGTGCTCTAGTCAACTGTACCACGACATTGTAAAAAAAATTGCAACCGGAAGTGCTACTACTCCCACGAGGATCCCGAGGCTTTCACTGAAGCCGAACCAGGATTTCACAATTCCCCCATGCACTCAGGCTCTGTCAACCAAATAGTTCTACCTCTGATGCCCTACTTCAATACACACACAAATCACAATAACGTGATATATCAATTGATATAGTGTATTGAAGTAATTTTCAGAAGTCAGCGGTAGAACTATTTGGACGACAGAGCCCGAGTGCATGGGGAAATTGAATACACTTGATAAAGTCAAATGTTAATTTGATTACAAGTATATGAAGCAATAAACCTTTATGAACAATGCAAAATATCAATACATATATGCAAAGTTAAAGGAAAGGCACAGCAAAAGATTAAAATGCAAAACCAAGTATGATTGTTTACTAAGACCCACTGTATAAATCCATATCTGTCTGTGGAATGATAAACCTCGAATTCTGGATCTTCCCAAGGGTCTATAACAGCTCCTTCTTCGCGGCCAAGGTTGTATCGCCCAACTATAGTTGCACGTTCCTCTCGTGCCCGGATGAGCAGCTCTTCCTCGCTCAATCCTGGAAGGAAATAATTATCTTAAAGATTCACTACAGAATAAACAAATTAGAGGTCAAATGTAATGAAATGTAATGGAATGTCCTTTTCTGTTGAGCTTCTAGTGGTTTTCTCTCATACCACCAAGCCTTAGCCTAACACACCAGACGACGACAGAAACCAATCTGTCATCTACTGGGAGACGGAGCCAGAATCTGGATCATCTGAAAGGCGAAGGGAAGCAAGGGCTCACAAATCAACCACAAAACTGAGAAAACCTACCATAAAGCAAAGGTAGGAAACGAGTATACACTTTTCGATGTCGCAATGCGCTCCCCTGAAACGTCTGGAGCATGACGTCACAGTCTGTGGCGCACCCGCACGGAGTGCGATAGTGTAAGACATTGTGTGCGCCATACCATCATGGACCCATTTTTAGAGAGCTTTTGCGGAAACTGTCAGGCCAGAATACTATACAGGTGCAAATCCGATGGAAATAAAAATTCTGCAGGACAGATGAGCCAACATTATGAAGATGTGGGAGCATGGGAAAGATCAAAATGGTGGAACCCAACAGTGGTACGAAAGGTGTCCTAGCAATCTCGGGATTGTTGCTGTTCCTAATTTATATGAATGATCTACCTGAGGGAATTAGTTCAGAGGTGTCAATGTTTGCAGATGATGCAGAGCTGATAAGGAATGTGAAAACAGATGAGAACTGCAGAAAGTTACGGAATGACCTTGGAGGAAACTCCTGGTGTGGTCAGACAAATTATTGCTGGATTTCAATCCCAACAAGTGTAAAATAATGAAGATATGAAAGGAAAAGAGGAGACTAAAAGACATCTACACCATACAGGGAAGGGTATCTGAAAGAGAGAAGGATCTGGGCATAGATATAATTATGACTCACACTGGAGGCACACACAAACAATAACACCAGCAGCATATGGAATACTGGTAAATGTAAGAACATCAGAGTTCCCCCCCCCCCCCATTATCGACTGTTTGCCATGTTTACCTAAAGATGCCTAGTTTCCTTCGAGCAGCTGCTCGATTCGTTGCAGCTATGCTTTTAGGAGGGTTTTTTCCCCCTACCATTTTGGTTTATCTCTAATCCCTACTCTCCTTGCCTTGTAGAGTGAGCCAGTAGGTAATGAGAGGCAATGGATGGGTCTCGAAAGCCTGGTGTGTTGGGTTAAAGCTTGATAGTACCCTAGAATCCTCCGGGAATCACTAAAGGTCTCACTCCTAAAAATTGATGAAATTAATATGAAAATAAAATATTTATAAAATCTACTTGAGAAATTATTCATAATTTGCATAAAATAGCTTTGTAAAAAAGTATTTTGTTATACAAAATTGACAACCACACACACACACACACACACAAAAATAAGCACCTGATAAAACTTTTCTAAATTCATTAATACAGTATAACAGTTTAAGAACATGCCTGTCTTAAGAAACAAAGACAAGGACTAGATGAATAACACATGCAAAAACAAATATATTAATAGACAATATTAAAGTAGGAAGAAATCCCAAAATATGAAGGAAAATGCAGACATCAAAACAATATAGGACTTTGAAAATTTTCACCCAAATGGTCCTGCTTTTGAATCATGGGAAATGGTCAAATGCTGCACATATCCAAGAAAAGCTTTATTTCCACAACTGAGAGAAAGGGGAAAAAAACAGCATTTAATGTAATGAAACTCCTCTTTCTGGTAGGGCCTTGGTGGCTCCTCGAAGCAATGATGCCGAAATGGTTTCCCACTAACAAGTCATATTAGCCATAGAAGTCCTGAATGGCCTACTGACAACCAGGATCAGAACCTAACCCCACTTACAGAGGCAAACAGGGGATTATTATGATCATCCTCACCAAGAAAACATTCAAAAAGTATGTGAAACAAACAACTGTGAAGTTCACATAAAGCGAAGCAATGAAACGGCCAACTGAATCTGTAAATGAATCACTCAAATCAAAATGATTCACTCAAAACTAGCTCAAACCCCTTAGTTGCGAATGGATGTCAACAGGGAAAAACAACACACACACCAAAGAAGGCACCGTCACTGCAGGAGCAATGACAAACGAACTCTTAGGGCAGGGCTTCCTTAAACACATGGAGCTCATAACAAATATTAAACCAAGTCCATGCAACAAGTGAGGCTTGTAAACACACACACACACACACTCACACACACACACACACATGAAGCAAATACTCAAGATTAGGAGCAAGCAAATGATCCCCCCCCCCCTCCCCCTCAAAGACAGGGTCTAAAGGATGGCCTACACTTATCTCGAAAAAGAGGTGGGGCTCACTATGGCCAGCAACTCGAGAAAGTCTGGCTTTTCAGACATTGGTGACAGGATTCTCTGCTGGCATGAGAGCCTGGAGCTCCCAGGGGTGCCACCTGTTGGTGGTCATTCGCAACTAGAGAGTTTGAGCTAGTTTCAAGTGAATCATCTGGATTTGCAGGAATCATTCATACAGTCATTTGACCATTTCAATGCTTTGTTTTATGTGAACATTGCAGTTTATATTGCTTATAGCACCAGCAATGCAAGTACAAGTATATCACCACCAAGAGAACCACCTGGAAAGGGAAAAAGCCCACAGCAAGTGAGTGTACCATGTGGCCACACACCCATAAGCAAGTCACCCAGCTAACAGGAAATAGCATGGACCACGAGAGACAGCCAGTAGCCAAAAGGCCTAAAAAGGTAGAGGTGGCAGAACAGATTCACTTGACAACAACAAAAGCCACACAGGAAGAATTGTGGAGAAGCGTATACATTGTTTAAATCAGTGTTGCAAGTACTTGCCTAATTGTGCTCACCTAATTGTGCTTGCGGGGGTTGAGCTTTGGCTCTTTGGTCCCGCCTCTCAACTGTCAACTGGTGTACAGATTCCTGAGCCTACTGGGCTCTAAGAGCGTCTCTAAGTGTTGACAAGCAGTTGCTTGTTTTGTTATACTTTGTCTTTCTGGTGCTATTTTTCAATAATACTGGTGGTGGTCTATTATCTTCAGACTCCCCTTACCTCTGTTTAGCTTGCCAGGTTTTTCTGTTAATGATTTCAGCAGGCATGTGTGATTTGATAAGAGCCTAGTGTGGTACCTGTGTTTGGAAGACTCCAGGTGGATAGTTCTGCGTCATACAGAGTAAAGCCCTCCCAGAAAATGGGGATCTTAAGTATCCTAGTGTATCAATCCTTGAAAGTAGCTTAGCAAGTGGGAACAGAAGTATACTAAACTAGGCTAAAACAACCAAGACCAAGAATCATGAAACAATTTTGAATACTGTACAAAGACAAGACAATTATCATCAGCTTCTACAGATCCCCCTAAAAGCCCTCACCTGGGCTCCTACATTCAAGCATGGAAATCACACATTCGAGTGGAAGTTATATTGCTAAAAAGCACCTTAATGCAGGATGACCAAATTCCTCCTAGGACGAAGCCACTTTAAATACCTGAGTAGGCCAAAGGCTACACAACTAAATATACTCTTCACACAAAGCCAGGCAAGAAAGACCTCCCCAAAACTTTGGAAATACAGTACTAATAGAAATTAAAACTTAAATGCCAATTGTTTCTGTAAAACAATGAAACTAAAATAAGTGGCTACACATCACATTACAGAATTGACAACAAAAAGTACTTCTTTTTAAGTGAATACAGAAATAAACAAGTTGAATATGCCTAGTAAAGCCAGTGAAGTAAGAGGAGCACTTAAGTTTACAGTAGAGAACTGGAAAAATACTCAAATGAATTGAGAGTTCCCTATACAGACCTATACAGACTGTGGACTTCCATTTCCCTAATCAAAGACACTCGATATAGCGGCTGTATAGTGACAGTCATAAAATACAACAAAATACAAAATGGAATTAAATAGGTAAAATAAATTTACACCAATTATGTACTCTCAATGTAAATGAAAAATGCAACAAACTTAAACTCTCTGCAAAGCTAATAAATAATTAACAGATTTGCATGGAAAAAATTACTAATGTACACTGGATAATTTTGATGGAATGTTGCACACAAACTTGACGGGATCAATGTACGCGAGGAAAGATAGTGAAGATTAACCAAAATACTGACAAGTACATGTAAAACAAATACTGTAATGCAATTGTGAAGGCAGAATCACAAGCACAAAGTAATCCTATAATATACCATAACATGATGACCAGACCACACACTAGAAAGTGAAGGGACGACGACAATTCGGTCCGTCCTGGACCATTCTTAAGTTTATTGTCTTGAGAATCGACTTGAGAATGGTCCAGGACGGATCGAAACGTCGTCGTCCCTTCACCTTCTAGTGTGTGGTCTGGTCATCATACAGTAATTTAGCCATGTTATTGTGACTCAACACCTGCATACCATAACATATCTATCATTATGCATATCCATGATTAAACAAAATATGCAATTTCTAGGTACATTTTCTAAATAATGAACATGTAAAATGCAATAAAATATAACAAGAGCAGGTAAAAATTCCAATCTTTGCCCCAAGTATATTATGTATACTTAAGTAAAGAACCCATACTGGTAAATTTTGCTTCTCAAAGTAACAAAATTAGTTATTGTACTGTAAATATACAAGATATTCATTACAGTATTTTAGTAATATAGTATTTCTCAGCACTGTACCTTAGAAAAAAAGAAAAAAAAAAGATCTCATTTCATTACTGTAAATTAAAAACCAAGAGTAAAAAAATTAGGACTAATCTAATGAGCACAAACCCACACATAAGAACAGGAAAGACTGACAACTTTTCGGTCCATCCCGAACCATTACCAACTCTGGCTGAAACAAAATAAACAGTGTGATTTTTACTTCTGTATTTTAATATCTATTGGCTGCAAATTTCATATTATAAATGTAGATTATTTTATGAGATTATTACTTCACATTATAAGAACAGTTTTACTGTTGGCCAATGGATAGTGTGAGCCCCAGACACCCCCCCCCTCCCTCTTTGGGTTTCGATTC